CTTCAGTGGCAAAAGATACCTTTGATCCTCTTGTTCCAAATAAGTTGTCAGTTCGTAAGTGGTATATGGTGTACGTAAGTGGTATATGGTGTACGTAAGTGGTATATGGTGTACGTAAGTGGTCTACGATGTACGTAAGTGGTATATGGTGTACGTAAGTGGTCTACGATGTACGTAAGTGGTGTATGGTGTACGTAAGTGGTATATGGTGTACGTAAGTGGTATATGGTGTTCGTAAGTGGCATATGGTGTATGTCAGTGGTATACGGTGTACGTCAGTGGTATACGGTGTACGTAAGTTGTATACGATGTATGTAAGTGGTATATGGTGTACATAAGTAGTATACGGTGTACGTAAGTGGTATATGGTGTACGTAAGTGGTATATGGTGTACGTAAGCGGTATATGGTGTACGTAAGTGGTATATGGTGTACGTAAGTGGTATACGATGTACGTAAGTGGTATACGATGTATGTACGTAAGTGGTATATGGTGTACGTAAGCGGTATATGGTGTACGTAAGTGGTATATGGTGTACGTAAGTGGTATATGGTGTACGTAAGTGGTATACGATGTACGTAAGTGGTATACGGTGTACGTAAGTGGTATATGGTGTACGTAAGTGGTATATGGTGTACGTAAGTGGTATACGGTGTACGTAAGTGGTATATGGTGAACGTCAGTGGTATACGGTGTACGTCAGTGGTATACGATGTACGTAAGTGGTATACGGTGTACGTGAGTGATATATGGTGTACGTAAGTGGTATATGGCGTACGTAAGTGGTATACGGTGTACGTAAGTGGTATATGGTGTACGTCAGTGGTATACGGTGTACGTAAGTGGTATACGGTGTACGTAAGTGGTATACGGTGTACGTAAGTTGTATATGGTGTACGTAAGTGGTATATGGTGTACGTAAGTGGATAATGTAAAAATGGATGTGTCAGTGTTTTGGGGACCTTAATTACTTATCCGAGCCCGACGCAGCTGCTAAATGATGACTAAATATAGAATACGCTAGGACTAAGCTTAGACTTCGAGATAATCAACCCGTGAAGGTCCGGGTTAGAATACTGATCTGCAGTAGCCCATGCTTGTCGTAAGAGGCGACTAACGGGATAGGGTGGTCAGGCTCGCTGAGTTGGTTGACACGTGTCATCGGTTCCCAATTGCGCAGAACGATGCTCATGCTGTTGATCACTGGATTATCTGGTCCAGACTCGATTATTTACAGACCGCCGCCATAAAGCTGGAATATTGCTGAGTGCGGCGTAAAACTAAACTCACTAACTCACTCGAGATAACCGCGAGTTCAACACAATTCAAGGGTCTTTTAGTAATATGTTTTTAACATTTGTATCGCCCAGAAACCTCGACGTATTAATTGGTGTCTGAATGTTTGGTCTTGTTATCATCTTGGTACATGTTTTGCCTCCGGGATATTTTTGTCGATGTTTCATTTATCGTAGTGGACTAAGACAATGAGTCCACCTGTCATCAACACACACACGTCAGTCGTAGATCACGGGCGAAAGTCAACACCGACAATGAAGCAGCCGTTTAATGACAGGTCATCGATTATTTCAGCCACTGTGAACTTACAGACTAAAGTGAGCGAGTGTGTGAGTGAGTGAGTGAGTGAGTGAGTGAGTTTAGTTTTACACCGCCTTTAGCAATATATTCCAGCAATATCAGGGTGGGTGACACCTGAAATGGGCTTCACACATTTTACCCATGTGGGGAATCGAACCCGGGTCTTCGGCGTGACGAGCGAACGCTTTAACCATTCGACTACCCCACCGCCCTAAAGTTTGTCTTGACTTGATCAGACTGCTGTTATACTGTACTGATGATAGTTGGAAATATGAAAAAAAATAATTAAATAATCGATAACCACAAAATTCTTTTTTGATGTTTTGTTGAAATAAATATTATTGCTAAGAAACAATACATGATGATAATCAAAGATTATTAGAAATAGAAATATACACGATTGTTGGTACTTGATTTGCAACTGTGCCTCTACATACAAGTTTGAATTTATCCAGCGATAAAGAAAAAAATGCAGAACAGCCAATGTATTATTTCTTCTAGAACAAAAGAACAAGCACAGCAACCCTTGACATGCCTATTGCGTGGAACAACGGATATGTCAACCAAAAATACAATACACTATCATGGCAATATGACAACCCCAAGTATTTTATGAAACCAATCTCTGGTGCATTATTCCATGCCTTGAGCATATTTTCGTAAGAAGCCGGATAGTCATGCACAGTTTCTCGATGTTTTGACGCGTGTAATGGTGGAAGGTGTTGAAATTGTGATCCACATAGCTGACTTACCCCTAAGGTGATAATATACATTAGACGCCAAAAGAAACGTAACCCTCTTACCTTTATGAATTACTGAAAAAATATCAAAGATATTTGAGAAGGTTTTAGTTTACAAGAAAGCTTAACAACACATCTTTATGCAAATCACGAAAAACAAATTCTCAAATGCATTCATATTTGGGTGAAATGCATCTTTTTAGAAGAGTTAAATTGTCCTATATTCGTCCACGCCGAACTAAACCAATAATAGTGATTTTCGATGTCCAAAAGAGAGGTTGAAATAAAATTCTGCTTTGGGACAATGATAAACCAGTTAAAGTCACCATTTTCAACTATTAAAACAAGAAACAACTGTTGTAGAGTGTGTAAAATTGTAAAATAATCATTGCTATGATTTCAGTCTTTTAAAACATTTTCTGTTGATTTGAATTAGTGAAAACAAGTAAAACGTGTCTTTGATAGTGTGAAAAAAATGTTTAGGAACATCTGCAATTATCTTTGTTGATATTTTTGCTTGCAAAGTAAACTTTTTCTATTTCCATTTTACACATAGCAATATCAATCGCCAAAATGCAGCAATATTCAAACAGTATTTACATCCATTTCACATGCAGAATGATTCTATAGGGTATAAAGAGAGCCTAGAAGACATGATCTGATACACAAGTACGAGAAATATGCCACGATTAACAGCTGAAGGGAGGGAAAGAGCCATTGGGATGGTGCAGATGGGGTCGACATACAATGCTGTTGCCAACGCCCACGGACGCCACCGTATCACGGTTATAAGACTTATTCAGGGCTTCAGACAGACTGGGATCGCCGTAGACAGACCAAGAAGTGGACGTCCACGCATCACAACGCCAGCTGAAGATTGTACCTCCATCATTAAGGAAGGAGGGTAACGTTTCTTTTGGCGTTTAGTGTATCCCATGTTTTAACATGGGTTGACGGTCATCGTATTGCTCATGTCATTTTGCATAACGGGGCTCAGAACAAAACCAGAAGTATTCATTGGAAGACTGCATGGCAACGCCAAGCTTACAAACGATCATTGGGCGATGGGGTAGCCTAGAGGTTAAAGTGTTCGCTCGTCACATTGAAGACCCAGGTTCGATTCCCCACAATGTGTAAAGCCCATTTCTGGTGTTTCCCCGCCGTGATGTTGCTGGAATATTGCTAAAAGCGTCGTAAACTAAACTCACTCACTACAAACGATTAATGGATTATAGTGAATATCAAACGGGTGTTCGATGTCAGATATGGGTGATCGATGTCATATATGGGTGTTCGATATCAGATATGGGTGTTCGATGCAAGATATGGGTGTTCGATGTCAGATATCGGTGTTCGTTATCAGATATGGGTGTTCGATGTCAGATATAGGTGTTCGATGCCAGATATGAGTGTTCGATGTCAGATATGGGTGTTTGATGTCAGATATGGGTGTTCGATGCCAGATATGGGTGTTCGATGTCAGACATGGGTGTTCGATGTCAGATATGGGTGTTCGTTGTCAGATATGGGTGTTCAATGTCAGATATGGGTGTTCGATGCCAGATATGAGTTTTCGATGTCAGATATAGGTGTTTGATATCAGATATGGGTGTTCAATGTCAGATATGGGTGTTCAATGTCAGATATGGGTGTTTGATGTCAGATATGGGTGTTCGATGTCAGATATGGGTGTTCAAGTCAGATATGGGTGTTCGATGTCAGATATGGGTGTTCAAGTCAGATATAGGTGTTCGATGTCAGATATGGGTGTTCAAGTCAGATATGGGTGTTCGATATCAGATATGGGTGTTCAATGTCAGATATGGGTGTTCAATGTCAGATATGGGTGTTTGATGTCAGATATGGGTTTTTGATGTCAGATATGGGTGTTCAATGTCAGATATGGGTGTTCAAGTCAGATATGGGTGTTTGATGTCAGATATGATTTTACTGCAATTGTATATATATCCTGCACATATATACATATAAATTAACACTAATAAATTTCGACATTTTTCTTTTTCTATTTCATCGAATAAATTCATAAGTGTATTAAACAGTAGTAAACAGTGTGGATGCTTTAATGTCGTGAAATTGAAAGTTCACGTGCAAGCCTTGACTTTGCAGACTATAAAGATGAAAAACAAGAAATGCACGTGTTGAAAGCAAATTCATGAGGTCTTTCGGTGCGTGCTTGCGTAAACTGAACACGTACATTGATTTTGAGCTGGAAAAACAAATTAAACTTTTCTTTTTTATCTTTGTTTGGAAATGCCACGCCTTTCAAATCAAGAACGTCAACGTGCTATTGGGAGGCTTGATGCTGGTCAGTCTGTGGTCGTTGGTGCAAGAGCCTTTAATTGCTCACGGCAAACACTTTTTAATCTTAGGATGAGAGTGCATCAAACCGGATCTGGAGGGCAGTAACACGTGTACCTATTGTACATGTGTGAAACAGTCTTTAGTTCCTCGTTAAAGCTCACTTTCCCTTAGAAAAGCTCTTCTCGTGTTTTAACATCACATACATCAACAGAAAGACCGACCTTGGCAAGTATATATATATAGCGTTTTAAGATTGCAATTCCGTGACAAACCAAATTCCTGCTGCACGAATGTGAAATCACATACATGTAGGTCAGTCTGAAGTTCACCTTAATGTCTGATAAGGTTTCCATTTCGGTCAAACGCAATTCGAGAATCTCGGCCATATGTGTTGATTCCTGATACTGATTCATCCTGAACACATACAGCCATGAACACACTCGGCTGGCTCGTGCTCTGTGTCAGCATTAAAGGTAAGCAGTTGAATATGCTATTTCAAAGTACAGTGTTGTGACGAGCCATCAAGTAAACCCATCCAATGTAGTGCAAGTATTAAATCCTTAAGGCTTCTTTACTAACGAACAACGCTGTGGGGAGTAAGAATTGTGATTATAGGGAAAGCCGAGATAGGGTTCGATTCCCAACATAGGCACACAGGGTATCTAACGGAATCGGGTGGTCAGGCTCGCTGACTTGGTTGAAACATGTCATCATATCCCAGTTTTGTAGGTCGATGCTCATGCTGTTGATCACCGGATTGTCTGGTCTAGACTCGATTAATTACAGGCCGCCTACATATAGCTGGAATATTGCTGAGTGCGGCGTAAAACTAAACAACAACCAACAACATTGTGTATAGCTCGTATATGGTGTCCTTAATATTCCTAAAATATTACTAGAAGCGACGAAAAACCATTTAAAGACTTTTAAAAAAGCAAAAAACTTCTCAATGACTAAAACAAGGGAATGTGTCTTACGAACATTGATGGCGAGTTATGATGAGTCAGCATTTCATGTTTCAGGAGGGTTCAGCGTGTGTTCGTCATGTAGCAACATTGCAAAGGTTCCAAGTGGGTAAGACAACACGTGTATATGTTACAGTGAATGTGTGAAACCAGGAATTTCACGTAATCCCTAAAAGAGTGAGTGATTTCGTGAAATCATTGTGACCCCCAGGTATTTCATGTATTCCCTAAAATTTCAAGGGATTTTATGAAATTGCTGATTTTCATGGTGTTCCAAGACATACATTCCCTGGTAGGACATCAGTGAATGTGTGAAATTAAGGTTTGAAGGTTAAAACCTTGACAATTTACTGTTGAGTCTCATTTGAACCCTCAGTTCTTAGGAGTTGGAAAACTCTGACAATTTACTGATGTCACTCTTGCCTAATTACTACCTTGAGTCGAGGTGCCAAGATAATCCTTCAGTTTTACTATTCGGGTACATAATCATTTATAGAAGCAGTGCTGAACTCCAGACTCATCTGAAAACACTTTCAAACAAAAGTTATGGTTCTTAAAATCGTAAAAGAAAATATGTTTGAACTTGAGATCCCAATCCTTCGTTACTATCACGGCAGCTAAACATCGCTCAAATTCTTTAAAAAAATTTAATTAGCATGATTTTCCAAAATATTTGTTTCTATGTGCCGCTAACTGCCACTAAAAATGAAGTACATGTCGAATCATTACTCGGTATTTTCCGAAACATATATTAAAGGTATCCACCTTTTACCTCAAATCAGGTGTTATTCAGTTTTACATATACCTATATGGGTTAAATATATAACTTGTGGTACCATGACTGGGCAGTGCTGTTAGTGAGAAGCACCACTACTGGGCCTCTGAAATGACTCGAGATGCTCCCGCCCTTTGACAGTTCCAAACTTTCTTAGTCAAATATCAATAAGGAAGTGTTGGTTTTAGAGTATAGGAATCAGCAGCTAGCATGACCATATATTTATAAACATTGGTAAAGTGTATGTTTAAGTCTTGTACAGACTTTGAACAGTGTTAAGGCCGTTGTCGGTACAGGTACTACAAAATATACCCGACCTATCGTTATGTATGATAAATGAGCGCTTATCATGTTAGCATCACATCTGAAGGTCTAGTCAAATTGGCACAGGCCCACGTGTCTTTGCGAGGATTAAAGATTTCAAAAATAATAAAAAAAGATTTGAGATGACCCCCGACTCGAAATGCTTCACAGTACAATAAATCATGATGTATTGTACTGTGAAGCATTTCGAGTCGGGGTCATCTCAAAAAGCATATATCTTTAATCCTCGCAAAGACACGAGGGGCTGTGGCGCCAAGTCATCATGCCATGCTATTCCTGAAAATATGCGGCGTAAAACAAATAAAATTACCTATACCTTTCTTCAGGTACCACGCTGTCGGTTACCATACATCGGATGCCCACATAGAGAACCCGGGTCGTGGCTTCTACCAACATCTGGAGACCACATCAAGTCACTTCTCACCTCTCACAGTCAGTTGAATCAAGTCTGTTTCATATCCGGAAGAGCCGGGTTAAATCGGTCTTCAGTACCCCATGCTTGTCGTAAGAGGCGACTAACGGGATTGGCTGGTCAGGCTCGCTGACTTGGTAGACAGTGGCCATCCCAATTGCGTAGATCGATGCTCATGCTGTTAAGTCCTGGATTGTCTGGTGTAGACTTGATTAGTCACAGACGACTGCCATATGGCTGGAATATTGCTGAGTGCGGCGTTAAACAACAAATAAACAAACTTGCTGTTTTGATAAACAGAAATTGTGTACTGGCTAGTCTAGCATGCTTGAATACACGTGTACAAAAACGATTTGGTGAAATGTATTTATGAGCAATGGGGCAAATTTAGTCTCAACATTTCTACTTTACCGGGCTGAACTGCCAGTTAATCATGTAAGTGGGTGAGTATGCTGCAGCGTTGTTAAATCTATGTCTCAGAACACATTGAAAGAGATGAAGAATCTGTACCCATGGGAAGAGATGATTGCTTGTCGTCTACTTGGTGGGCAAACGCATTGACCACATGGCCACACCATAATACAATGTTCATAATCCGATCCATGATTGATACAGTGAGCACTTGTTTTATGCCTAATGGATGATTGAGTGAGTGAGTTTAGTTTTACGCCGCACTTAGCAATCCAGCTATGGCGGTTAGAGTATTGATCTTCAGTAACCCATGCTTGTCGTAAGATGCGACTAACGGGATCGGGTCGTCAGGCTCGCTGAGTTGGTTGACACATGTCATTGGTTCCCAATTGCGCAGATCGATGCTCATGCTGTTGATCACTGGATCGTCTGGTCCAGACTCGATTATTAACAGACCGCCGCTATATAGCTGGAGTATCACTCACCAGCTATGGCGGCGGATCTGGACCTGACAAATGCCGACTCATCATTACTCGGCATCATTGTTCGGAAGTCACATTCCATAATATTTCACCAATATCATCATGGAGGCAATATACGAGCTATACGCAGTGTAGTTGGGTGTTGTTTAACGCCGCACTGGACCAGACAATTCGGTGATCAACAGCATGAACATCATTCTACGCAATTGGGATACGATGACATGTGTCAACCCAGTCAGCGAGCCTGACCACTCGATCCCCTTAGGCGCCTCTTCCGACAAGCATGGGTTACTGAAGATCAAGTCTTGCCCGGATCTTTACGGGTGCTTAATGGATGAATGTGCTGACTGGGTGAATAGTGTTTTGGTGTGAATGAATATACACATTGACGGATGAATTTTAAGGACGAATGTTTTGTAGAAATTGTATCAGAGGCAGATGCTCTCTACGTCATGAACACCTGGTGTCATAACTGAGTTTCGGCGATCCTTAGTTTTCTAATATTTTCACGGCCATTTTGCTCTATACGTCCAGTAGTATCTGGAAAATGAAGACTTGTTATTCTCTGGCATTGACGTATTAAGCTAACGATGATGAACGGATAGATATAGGCGGTTGTAGGTGATTAATGAACGATTTATTACGTCATCAGCCTCGTTGCAGGTGCACTACTTGGACACAGTCCGGCAAGATGATGGGGTAAGCTTCGGACTGAGGATCTATGTTCTCGACTCGTTTGTACATTCCGCCATCAGCAGCACCTTCCTCAGACATATACGGGATGACCTTGAAGTTGTGAAGGATGCCGGTTGGACCGTGGCTCTGAGGTTCAGCTACACCAGCCACAGTGTAGGTAACGTAGATCACGGGGGTGGGTTACACTGAATACGGTGAGGTAGCTCTGAAAACGGACATAAAACATTAGACACGGTAAGGTAACATTAAACGCGGTGAGGTCACATGAAACACGGTGAGGTCACATTGAACACGGTGAGGTCACATTGAACATGGTGTTGATAAAACTGAACAAACTTCAGACCTATTGACAAGGATCAATCTTCAGACCTATTGACAAGGATCAAACTTCAGACCTATTGACAAGGATCAATCTTCAGACCTATTGACAAGGATAATCTTCAGACCTACTGACAAGGATCAATCTTCAGACCTACTGACAAGGATCAAACTTCAGACCTGTTGACACGGGTCAAACTTAAGACCTATTAACACGGGTCAAACTTCAGACCTATTGACAAGGAACCAAATTCAGACCTATTGACACGAATCAAACTTCAAACCTATTAACACTGAACAAACATCAGACCTATTAACACGGATCAAACTTCAGACCTATTTACACTAAACAAACTTCAGTCCTATTTACACTGAACAAACTTCAGACCTATTTACACTGACCAAACTTCAGACTTATTGACACTGACCAAACTTCAGACTTATTAACACTGACCATACCCTTGCTGTACACTGTGGAGATCATTAAAATATGCACAAACCCAGTTACAACACGTTCGCTATTTCAGTTGCGCTCGACGAAACATATCGTAAAGATGCAAGCACATACCATGTGTACAACACTGTAGATACCCAGGTGAGCACCTTCATCGACTGTTGGTGTATCAGTGTCCCTCATTCCCACAGCGCAATACCGCCCCTTACGGCGATGCAACTAAACAGTGGATGCTGGAGCACATCAGGCAGCTGGGACCGATATGGAAAGCATATGAGGGGGTCATATCAGTCATACAAGCGGGCTTCATCGGCATTTGGGGTAATCAACATAATTATAGATTTCATAATACACAATCGTTCGTTTTCTTCACTTTCTGAAATATGTTTTCATCTCAGGTACCATAATAATAATTATAGGAGAAAATTTCCAATGAAGGCTTTCAATCGAAGTTTTGTAATATAACAGATCACATATGTGTTTGTGGGGCGCGGTGGGCGAGCTGGTTAAGGCGCCAGGCGAGTGATCCAGCGAGCTTGAGGTGACGGGATCGAGCCCACCTGTGACCGGGTGTAAAAACCTTGGAGTCAACCTTCTTTGTGTGCAGACTCTTTCAGTGTTGTCACAACCCCTAGTGTACAGTACACAACCCTGTGCACTTAAAAGAACCCACGAATCCGTTGGTATTTGACCAGATGGTGGCCACATGAATACGTGCAAACACCCAGTTGCGGGTACAGCAACGTGCAGTGAACATGGACAAAGTACTGTGACTATGTGTCCCAGTCCACCCAGCTGTGAATGGGTACCTCGTTAGGATGAGAAAGCCACAATAACTCGGTGCGCCTAGTGGCTGCAAGAGTTGTATACTCCCCAGGGAGTTGAGATTGATAATGCGATGTGCTGTTCAGATTGACATCCAATGATCGAGGGAAAAATACCAGCGCCTTGAGCATGCACCAGTGCGTGGATATGTGCGCTATATAAATATCCTATAATAAATAAATAAAAAAAAATAACATATTAATAATTTGGTGGTATAACAGAGTGAAAAGTGCTTCAATTTTTGGAGGTGATGAATTTCGATTCAGTCAGTGTATGGCATCCTATTTACGCACTGAAAACAAGTTTGCCAAAACATTGTGTTGTGTTCCTCTGAACACGCACAGCCTCCAGCGATTTCAAGGCAGTCATGCTCTTTTTTCTATTCGAAAGGAAAATGTGACCCACGACAATAAAAGTGACATTTACTTTCTTGTTTTGATGACAGGCGAGTGGTACTACACGACCTATTTTGGGGATCCCAACCACTTGACCAATGGGCTGTCAGCACGAAATTGGCAGGATCGTAGAGATGTTCTCACCGCCATTATCGACAACTCGCCCACTTCCATGTAGATACACTGACTGACTGACTGAGTTTGGTTTTACGCCGCTTTTAGCAATATTCCAGCAATATCACGGCGGGGAACACCAGAAATGGGCTTAACACATTGTGCCCATGTGGGGAATCGAACCCGGGTCTTCGGCGTGACGAGCCAACGCTTTAACCACTAGGCTACCCCACCGCCCCCCATGTAGATACAAATGATTGACGTGTTACAAGGTTTTGTTCATGAGCATTACCGTTTCGTGAACAGACATAGGATGTGCCGTTCTACTGAAAGGCCATGAAAACTTTTGGATTGTGTGTAAACTTGTGCCATGCTTAAATTAATAGATATAAATCTAATTATGGTATAGTTGCAATTAGCATATGAAACCCACAAACGCTGTCGCCTGTTGCTTAAGTGTTTTTTCGCTTTCGATTTTTTTCTTTAAGTTTGTTTGGTTTGGTGTTTCTATTTGTGTATGTGTGTGTGTGTGTGTGTTTTCACTATGACAACTAATTTCACCATACATATAATGGTTTTCATTCGTCAAGATATAATTATGTTTTATACAATAGTGTACCCACACCACATCATTTCATGACATGACAGCTATAGAAGACAATATTTATTTTACATTAATGCGTTATATCATGTACCTTATTGTATGAAATTGACAGCTGCTATATCGCATCATGGTATGTCATTTTCATAGCCCCGTCCAAGTTCGAACTCCGCACTACAAGATGAAGCTATGGAACAGCAACACGCCTTCCAATCTGGCTGACGTGGAGAGACACACACACGCTGGAAGAACAGGTACTCGCCTGTACTTGCTAGTACTTGTCTATACTTGCTGGTACTAGTCTATACTTGCTAGTACTTGTCTTTACTTGCTAGTACTTGTCTATACTTGCTAGTACGTGTCTATACTTGCTAGTACTTGCCTATACTTGCTAGTGCTTGTCTATACTTGCTAGTACTTGTCTATACTTGCTAGTACTTGTCTATACTTGCTAGTACTTGTCTATACTTGCTAGTACTTGTCTATACTTGCTAGTACGTGTCTATACTTGCTAGTACTTGTCTATACTTGCTAGTACTTGTCTATACTTGCTAGTACTTGTCTATACTTGCTAGTACTTGTCCATACTTGCTAGTACTTGTCTATACTTGCTAGTACTTGTCATTATTGCTAGTACTTGTCTATACTTGCTAGTACTTGCTTGTATTAAATTCTACTTTCTGTAACTTTGTACTTAGTGCACGTCAGGACAAGTGGTTTAAGGTTCCTCAATTTTCCGATCAACACGTAATGGGTTCGAATCCCTGATTAGAGCTCTTAAATATCTGAATAAAGTTTGACGTCTTCTACAAACACCTTGTGTTAAGAATAGCACGCTTGAATAAGTAGGATTAAGTTTATGAGCTCTCTCCCGGCATCAATCTAAATCGAAGTAAAACTACTGAAATACATGTACAGATAATTTTAGTATCCTCATTTTGTCGTTTGCCTATTGTGTAGATCGATGCTCGTGATATCAATCACTAGATTGTCAGGTCCATGCTGGACTATTTACAGACCACCACCATATAGCTGATATAATGCTGTACAGCGTCAAACACACAATTGTACTGCCGCTCGTTTACCTATTCACTATCTTAGATCATTTTTATCTTTTAAAATGCCAGCGATTGCTTTTGCTGGCCGTCCTAAATACAGATAGAAAGTGGGGCGGTGGGGTAGCCTAATGGTTAAAGCGTTCGCTCTGCACGCTGAGGAACTGGGTTCGATACCATACATGGGTAGAATGTTTGAAGCCCATTTCTGGTGTCCCCCGCCGTGATATTTCTGGAATATTGCTAAAAGCGGCGTGAAACTATACTCCCTCAGATTGAAAAGTATGCACATGTTTATAACTAAACTACAAATGTGTCTAAACATATTTCTTGTTTGAGTGGCAATCTAGAAGTCGGTGGTATAGAGATGACAAAACCTTATGTATGATCAATTTCTTTACTTTCACAATAGCGACGTTTCGGTATAGCTTGCTTGAAAACGGTATAAGAATCTACACCAAACGTCGCTATTGAGAAAATAAAGAAATTAATCATCCATAAAGTTTTGTCATCTCTAAAAATATTTCCACGAAAAATATTGAATGGTCATTTAGGTCACCATAACGACTGTTTCCTGGCCAGCGACGATGATGTTGGTACATACGATGACGTTGCGGCAGAAAAGTCGTATCTAGCTCGTGACACGGAATATCTTCCCATCGGAGGCGAGACATGCGGAAAAGCACCACTCAAGTAAGAGCAGTTAGCAGACTATGTAGTTATTGTGACGATTTTCATGTCGTCCATAGATTATCAAACACATGTTTTTGTAAATGTCCCCAGTACTCCGTGCTTGTCACGTGAGTATAAAGTGGATACAGTTGTGACTGACTGTCAGCGTATCCTCATGGTAATCATCTGTGCTCGCGCTATCAACCACTGGTCTGCATGAGCAACATTTGATATGCTGCCCACTGCGATGTAGCTTAACTGAGTGAGTGAGTGAGTGAGTGAGTATGGTTTTACGCCGCTTTTAGCAATAATCCGGCAATATCACTGCGGGGGACACCAGAAATGGGCTTCACACATTGTACCCATGTTGGGAATCGAACCCGAACCGTCGGCGTGACGATCGAACACTTTAACCACTAGGCTACCCGCCCCTAGTTTTAAATGAAACGCCACTCACTCAGGAGACCCTCTCATAGTGAGTAAGTGAGTTGGGTTTATCTCCGCTTCTAACAATACTCGAGTTACATTACGGGAGTACAATATGTGAAACCCATTTCTGGTGTCCCTCGCTGTGATATTGCTGGAATATTGCTAAAGGCGGCGTAAAACCCAACTCACTCACTCACTCAGCTATATCAAGACCTATGAGAGAGAAAGAATGATGCTGGTGGCAGATATGTGCAACTTTGGTGAAACCCTCGAGCACATGTTCGGGACGAATCGGGATAGGTTTCTTACGTGTTCAGACGCAACACCTCCCAGCGAATTTGACGTCAATGCCGACTCGTCACCCATGTCCCCAACACTAACCATATCAATGTAAATTGGAAACAGTATATCTATTCAACATATCGTCATTTGGATTCTTCCCCACTTGGGTACAATGTGTGAAGCCCATTTCTTGTGTCCCCCGCCGTGATATTGCTGGAATATTGCTAAAAACGGCGTTAAACCATATTCAGGAGACACTGTTTACGTTTGTTTCAAATCGTATTTCTATATATACCGAGTCGGTTTCGCCTGAGGATTGTCTGGTCCTATAGATGTTATGTACCTATGTTCCAGACATGGTAGTCACCGGAGTGATTGTCTGGCCCTCTATACCTATGTTCCAAACATGGTAGTCGCCGGAGTGATTGTCTGGCCAAATATACCTATGTTCCAGACATGGTACTCACCGGAGTGATTGTCTGGCCCTATATACCTATGTTCCAGACACGGTAGTCGCCGGAGTGATTATCTGGCCCTATATACCTATTTTCCAAAAATGGTAGTCACCCGAGTGATTGTCTGGCCCTATATACCTATGTTCCAGACACGGTAGTCGCCGGAGTGATTGTCTGGCCCTATATACCTATGTTCCAGACATGGTAGTCGCCGGAGTGATTGTCCAACTGCTTTAAAGGAACTGAAGGAATTCCACTGGTCCTTTATCAACAAGGGTTATTCCCCTGAAGTGTTGGGCGACTGGAAATCTCAGGGCTGTTTTGTTCAAATACACAGGGACCTGGGGTACAGGTTATCTCTAAAACAGGTGTGTTAGTTTTTGATCTCCTACGTAATGCGTTTTTCAATATTATTTCAGGCCAAATACATCCCTTAACACTCAAGGATAATCTGATCTGTGCTCAATTCATCAACCGATTTTCATCTTCAAGAACATGGACATGGTGAAAAACGCTTGTTAAGCTACATGCGCTGTAGATTTTATAGACCAGTCTATAAATAGTTTAAATATTACAACTGCCATTTAAACATCCTTTATTTCCTCACATACTGAGCAGTACATTTGTACATAATACGTCTTGTAAAAATACATTGTCCGAACGGAGATTAATTCAGATATAGATATAGAACGTCAGTGGAAAAGAATACCCAGTCTTGAATATCCTTAGAACCCAACGTCATAGGCATATACTCTGAAGTGCTGTTTTGATGTATTTTTAATCAGGGCGCAATGCTTGGTTTCCATGTCAACGATGAAGGTTTCCTTGTGCGGACGAAGTGTGTTACTGTTTCAGGCGGTGCTTCCTACTAAGACAGCCCATGGAGGTACCCTGTGTTTCCACCTGGTTCTCAGTAACACAGGTTACGCAGCTCCCTACAAACCCTGGACCGTCAGGCTAGTTCTCAAAGCGAAATCAGGGTATGTGTCTCTTCCGGGCCCAGGTGCAAACACCGGGTTTACCGCTCATAGTTCGTGATTTTACTCAGCTTCAGTATCCTACACGCGAGTCGCGAGTGCGTATAACATATCACACAGACCGAAAACATATCACACAGCCACAACACATATCACACAGCCACAACACATATCACACAGCCCCCACACATATCACACAGCCCCCACACATATCACACAGCCCCAACACATATCACACAGCCCCAACACATATCACACAGCTAGAACACATATCACACAGCCACAACACATATCACACAGCCCAAACACATATCACACAGCCCAAACACATATCACACAGCCACAAACACATATCACACAGCCCCAACAAAAATCACACACCTTAACACATATCACACAGCCCCAAATTTTTCACACAGTTACAACACATATCACACAGCCACAACACATATCACACAGCCAGAACACATATCACAAAGCCACAACACATATCACAGAGCCTCAACAAATATCACACCAGCCACAACACATATCACACCAGCCACAACACATATCACACACATCAACACATATCACACAGCCACAACACATATCACAAAGCCACAACACATATCACACACCTCAACACATATCACACACCTTAACACATATCATAAAGCTACAGCACATATCACACAGCCACAACACAAATCACACCAGCCCCAACACATATCACACAGCCACAACACATATCACACAGCCACAACACATATCACACAGCCACAACACATATCACACAGCCACAACACATATCACACACCTGAACACATATCACACAGCCACAACACATATCACACACCTCAACACATATCACACAGCCACAACACATATCAAAAAGCTTCAACAAATATCACAAAGCCACAACACATATCACAAAGCCACAACACATATCACACACCTCAACACATATCACACACCTTAACACATATCATAAAGCTACAGCACATATCACACAGCCACAACACAAATCACACCAGCCCCAACACATATCACACAGCCACAACACATATCACACAGCCACTACACATATCACACAGCCACAACACATATCACACAGCCACAACACATATCACACACCTGAACACATATCACACAGCCACAACACATATCACACACCTCAACACATATCACACAGCCACAACACATATCAAAAAGCTTCAACAAATATCACAAAGCCACAACACATATCACACACCTGAACACATATCACAAAGCCACAATACGTATCACACAGCCACAAAACATATCACACACCTCAACACATATCACACACCTTAACACATATCATAAAGCTACAACACATATCACACAGCCACAACACAAATCACACCAGCCCCAACACATATCACACAGCCACAACACATATCACACAGCCACAACACATATCACACAGCCACAAACACATATCACACACCTGAACACATATCACACAGCCACAACACATATCACACACCTCAACACATATCACACAGCCACAACACATATCACACCGGCCACAACACATATCACACACCTGAACACATATCACAAAGCCACAATACATATCACACAGCCACAACACATATCACAGAACCTCAACACATATCACAGAGCCTCAACACATATCACACAGCCCAAACACATATCACACAGCCACAACACATATCACACACCTTAACACATATCACACAGCTACAACACATATAACAAAGCCACAACACATATCACACAGCCAGAAACACATATCACACAGCCCCAACACATATCACACAGCCCCAACACATATCAACATATATCACGTAGCCCCAACACATGTCACACAGCCCCAACACATGTCACACAGCCCCAACACATATCACACAGCCCAACACATATCAACACATATCACACAACCAAAACACATTTTAGAATTATGGAATTAGTCCTTCCGTTACACGATTCAATTGATTAACCTGAGGGAGATGCAAATAATGTTGTGAAATATATTAAGATGAAGGATGTAAACATTATCAAACTGATAGAGCTTCAACATTATAGTCTGTATATATGTTGTAGCGGAAGATACCACTGCCCAATGTTGACGTGAGACGATGGACTGCTGGACAGGACCATCCTTTTGATGGAAGCATCGGCGTACCACCATCCCTGCCAGCAGGGTCGTATGAATTGTACCTTGTACATGCTGGTTTTTGAATGAAAGTCGTGTCCACATGCTGGTTTTCTCACGACACGACACCAAACATAGGTCATTCCATTGTACGCATGTGAGTCGTGTCTTAACCGCGTGTGTATCAATATTCCAGCAATATCACGACATCGGGACACGAAAGCAAACATAGGCTTCACCCATTGTATACGCATGCTGAACCAGCTTGACGACCGATTTTACTTTAACCAATATTAGGCTACCTTTACTGCAAGGAAATGCTGGGATGTGAGCGTAAATCTGACGGGACATGAACCAAGACAATTTGGTTATCTTTGGAATGACGTCTTGCCTTAGCACTTGAAAGCATTTTCCTTTCCTTCCAACTATATGGTCAACTTCCGTGACAGGTGTTCCTGGCCATATATGACGAGAAGATGGAGAGCCATGCTGACTACTATGTCATGCTGGCTAATACAAATGTACCTGACTTTGCTGCTGGTATCAACGACCTCAAGGCTACTGTTCAGGCAAGCTACTTTACATTCATACAGTGCACTGTATCTCCCCTTGCATTCGCTCCATCGTTTTATCATGCTGGACATGTGATTGCATTTATAGTTGTTTGTATTGACAATCTCCGGATGCTCCACACAAATAATTATTATTGGTAAAATGATATTGTGGATATGTGCCTTTGCGTTTTTGCCTATAAAATGTTTATGAGCGTCAGCATAGCAGAACAGAACCAAAGAAAAGCATAAAAATATGGTGGGGATACAGGAAATGAATTATAACTTATCCTTATGATTATGTTACTATACTGTACCTAGACACAAATCCACTAGCACACTGGACGACAGAGTGAAGGGTTTACTTATTTATTAGATTAAACAATGTTTAATAATATAAACCTCGAGTTAATTTTGAGAGTTAACGAATGTTTTCGAATGCATTGATCTGAACTATAATACATAGTGTGGAATGATATCAACACATCTATTGTCGCAGGTAACCGGTTCCGGTACTCACACTCCGACAGGCTGCCCCAGCCTATCGTCTTGGACGCCGCCCTCAAGGAGCAAGTACAGCAGGGTGTTGGGGAAAGGTTGATGTACTTTCAGACTGAATAAAGGTTCTACTGATCACAACTGTTCTCTGGTTCATTCAAAACCATTTCGTCTTTTAATTTGACATTGTTAAGCTCAATAAAACATTACATTATTGACTATGTGAACTCACACTAGAAGTGTCATAAAGTAACGGTTCCCCCAAACCCCCTCGGAAACGACAAACGACGTCTTTAGACAAAACATGTGCCCGCTGACAACAGTTCGCATAGTGGCTCAAATTCTATCAGTATGACCATCTGAGGTTAGTATTCAGTGATTAATTATCAATGCTGGTATTTGTGTGTCTAAATGTGCAGACGCTGCACTTAAAGTAAGGATAGCTGGCTCTATACCATATTTTAAGTCGATATTTCCTACACGATCGCCTTATTACGTCCTGCAACCTATGAAGAGAAAGTTTGCTTTTGTGAGTGTGAAGAGTGTGCCCAGGAGGATCCCCTAACAATCTTTTAATTGGGTGGTGATTTGAATAAATTGTTGACAAATATAAACGACATGAGAAAAAGATTGGAAACATGATGAAAGCGGAGCAACTCCACGGGAAGGATGCAAAATGCCTCTTTTAGGACATCAACAGAAGCAAAACGAACGGTGGGTTCAACAAATACAAGTTCTCAAAGCGGAAAGGAGGGAAGAGTAGATCTACGGAAATTCACAGCCACCGAACAAGTGACTGATTCCTCAGACACAGATACGTAGAAAGCAAAGTTTAACAATTTCAGGCTGGTATACTGGCAGGTTATTATGAAAACTGGAAATGTTTCACCTCTGTCCTAGAAATTGTAGACATGACACAAAGAGGACACCAGTGCATTCCTTCCCCATAACCTAATTCTTTAGTGAAAGAGAGACAGAAAATATTTGTCTGGAAGGCGAAAATTCCTGGATGAAAACGTTACTGACTTAACGAAGAAGAGAGTGAGTGAGTTGGGTTTTAAACCGATTCTTACTAATATTCCTGCAATATCCAGACGTTGGCTTCAACATTGTACCCATGTCAGGGAATCGAACCCGGCCCGGAACTTTAACACATTTCAATGTGAAGTAAGATGTCAGAGTGTCAAGGTCGTTAGAGTGACACCGCAACCTCCATATCTAAGTACTAGACAGTCCACAGTAACTAATAAGATACAAGGCATTCACGGGAATTTTTAGTATGAGAGTTTGAAAGGAAAATTGAATAATGACAAATTTATCACATTATATGAAAGCCTGAGTGCATATCCTGAGGTTGATATGTTGGCTTTGTAGATTATGGTATCAAGTGAAAACTTTTGTGTTGTTTCATGGGCATTGCCAAAGACTGTTTCACTATTCCTCTCAACACATGATACCACAGGTACTACAGAAGATAGAAGAAGAAGGACAACACAAACAATCATTGTACCCCATTGGACAACACAGACTTGATTGTCCCGACCACTGACGATGTTCATCGCTTACCCAGTGTCGTTAGCAAGCGGACAGAAAACCTCAGTACTTCCCAGTCAATCTCAGGATGTTAGCCCACTGCACAGAACTTTGACACTTGTGGCATGCCGCTGGTCAGGCAACTATTTGTGGGTAAAGGACTTTCGAAACCGTCTGCAGAGATCATCTCAAGACGTTATCGTTCGTGTGAAAAGAAGAAATACTCTCAGACAGTGGGGATCTAATTACAAAGGACGAAAAGCTGATCCATTTTATTTACCTGTAGAAATTCATATTGATATGGTTGCAAATATATCTCAGAGGGCGATACCCTATCTCACAAAGTACTTCGATGATTGTTGTGATCTATGAATCTTTGTGTGTTAAAATCTATTGGCTTGAAATGTGTGTTTAGTTATAGGGGCATTGTTATGAGTATGTGCATTTGTTAATTATAATGTCACATGAATTAACTTTTGGTTGTTATGGGTCGCAAAAGTCTAAAGCGCTGAATGTGGATTTGAACTCGCATCTTGAACTTAGGCTATTCAATTTCACCTGTTAACAGTGGGTTGAGAAGTTGCCTCCTTTTGTTTTGCTTCCGGTCTGATTCTGGAAGCGCCGAGATGATTGTGGTTTGGCATGGCTTTTACTCGAAAAATCCAGAACTGTGTAATATGCTTATAAGGGATAGTTGTTGAGATGTACGAGAGGGACTACTTTGGATTTACGCTCATCTTCTGCTAACATCGACGTTTCAAGACCGATCAAGAGGCCTCGTCTACATTGAACTTTCAACAGTTGTCATCAAACATCAACCAGTATGAGTACATCTATTTTTACGGGGAATATCAAGACTTTGGTGACTATAGACATTCAGTTAATATTTTAGATTTGTGACCCAATCGTACTGCATAAGGAAGCTGTACTGGCATTCATTGTAACCTTCTTTATCTTTCATTCAATATATAATTGAATATTATAGATTCGTTTGTGTTTTATTTTGCTTGTTTAATGGGGACTGACAAGCCTTTTATCACGGTAATTTCTAAACCGTAACAGTATGTACAGTGAGCATTGTTGAATTCACCTTGAAATGAACGTGGTGTGTAGACCTTGAAATATTCCTTTACTTTCATAAAGGGATGGCCACGTGAAACACATACAAAATGTACCCCTATTATGAATAGTCCTACATGTAACTGTTATGAATGACATTATTCCTTTATTCAATCCTATTTCGTTTCCTTATACCGAATCATTTTCCACTCGTCAGTTACAGTTTTAAATTCTTCAATTCCTAATTTTCCATGTAACCTTAGCTTCCTGCCTGTCCATGCTCACTCCGAGAATGTTACCTGTACCGAGAGAATGAATGAGAATATTTTCGTCAGTAACCCATGCTTGTCAGTAGAGCAGTGAATACAACAATTTGCTAAGTAACCTTATCTTCAGTAACCATTCATTACTAACGCTCCTGCACTCATCTCAAGTGAATACTCCTTTGCCTTTAAATAATGACAAACGCTATGTTTTGTAGCGGAACATCAAACGAGGGTCAGCCATCTTTGATGATGTTACAATGTTGCAAAATAAGTAACAGATGTTAATGACTGTTAATTGTAATGACACCTTATAGTCAATAATATATTGAAAACACTAAGTATTGTGCGAGTGCATATATTAAAACCACGGTCTTCCATGCAGTATGTGTTGCAAATACAGCTATCTTGCCCTTTAAGCAATCGATCTACGCAACTGGATACGATGACATTTGTCCATTAAGTCAGCGAGCCTGACCACCCGATCCCGTAAGTCGCCTCTTACGACAGGCATGGGTTGCTGAAGATCAGTTCTAACCGGATCTTCAACTCAACATTGTCCAAAGACATGCTTTCACTTCCTCGCCGGATACAGTTGAGGTCAAGCAGACAGCTAATTATTTCTCACATAAGCGTATAAAATGAAAATGAATTGAAAAAATAAGTATGATGAGTAATGCGAAGAAAATGTTTTGTTCTGAAACAATATCACCGTCTGTACTGTCAAACAAGCCAACATATCATACCTATGTAAGTTTTCTACATCACCTAACTGCCACGAAGACAGGTATATGTATTGTAGACAATTGATTCCTTATAGACACATTGTCCATACAACCGTGATTGCAGAACAAATCAGAAAACCCACGTGTTTAAGGAATGAAAGTAGTTTAATTCTGAGAAATGTATGCATAAGAATAATTGATAGAAATTGAACACAAGTAACCAAAACAATTGTTAACAGTGCCCCACAGATATTGTTCTAATCTGCGTAAACAACTACAACTATGAAGCTATACGATACATTCATGATGCATTGACACGTGTCACAGAGATTACAGCGATGGTAAATTGTGAATGGCTTATATAACAACGATGTGTCATACTTCACATTACAAAGCGAATTCTAAAAAGGTGGATGTGGATGGATATCA